GCATACATGGCAGCAAGAATAGCATCATAATCCAGATCAAAGATAGCAACCCCCGCACTAGACAGCTCTCCCCAGCGAAGGATCTCAGTGGCGTCAGGGAATTGGTGACGCCACGCGTCCGACAGGCAGCCAAAGCAGCGCTGGGTGGAGTGCGGGCCCCCGCACTGCTCACCAGCGCGATTGCCGGTACGGAGGACGTAGGTGCAGGGACCAGTATCCCCACCGCACTGACGCGCAGCATACCACTCACGAAGCTGCTGAGGGGACAGGGTCTCACGACTGCGCTGCTACCACTGGCGCGGACCACCACCTGACCCACTCCTCTGCGCAGAGCCACGACCAGCTCCACCGCTACCGCCGCCGCCTCCGCCACTTCCGCCGCCTCCGCCACCTCCGCCGCCTCCGCTCCTCCGCCACCGCCGCCGCCTCCTCCGCCTCCACTGCTGCCACCAACACCTCCACCCCCGCCACCACTCCCACCACTACCCCCACCCCCTCCACTGCCTCCACCACCACCTCCACCGCCTTCGCCAGCCCCTCCAGCGCCCTTGCCCCCCTTGCCCTTGCCGGTGCGGCGTCTCCCGCTAGGGGCAGACGCAACGCCGATCGACTCGAAACCAACGAGGTCGGCCGCAGCAGTAGAAGAAATAGAGGGTAAGAGGGGGGAGGGGGAACACCCCTCAAAGACGGGGGTGCGAGGGTCACCAGGAGAGGCTCCTACAGCGACTATGCTCTTCTTTGCTTCTAGGAGGCGCTCCTCGAGGAGGTCAACGGTGAGTGTGGTGGGGCAAACTGAGAGGAAGTGGTCCCTGATTAAGCGAAGGGAGTCAGGGAGCCGGGTGACTATGTAGTAGAGGGTGATGTATATGGGGGGGGGTTCTTGGCACAGAATTGAGCAGGAAGCGCAGCGCGGTAGCGAGTGTCACTAGTGCGAAGGTGCGTAATGAGGTCAGGGACTGTGGGAAAGGCAGCAAGGTCAGGGAACTGGTACGTCAGCATGAGGCGGCTCAGTGCAGCAGTGGCAGGGGAGGAGTTGCGTGCAACTACAGCGTCGTACAAGGTCTTAGCACTCTTGTACTGGCTAACGTTCGCACGCTCAGTGGTCGCTCAGTGGCGACGCACAGCAAGGTGGGCAGCAGCAATCGCGTGTGGCCCACTGTGAGCGAACAGTGCTGTCAGCAGTAGCAGGCGGGGCAGGAGAGGCACCACAGGTGAGATCGAACAGGGAGAGTCCGTTTGCCCTATCGCACTATAGGAACAGCTGGAGGTCATTCACCCAGACCTTAAAGTCAACAGCACGACCCTCAGCATCAAAGGTAAGGACACTGGAGGTAGCCATGAGTGCAGTGGCCTAGCAGGGAGTGATCTCACCAGTCCGAGTAAGTAGGGCCGGGGCGCGCCGGTAGGAATAGTAGGGGCTCGACGGCAGGGCGGCCCGGCGGCTCGGCTGCTGGGCGGCTCGGCGGCTCGGCTGCTGGGTGGCTCGGCGGCTCGGCTGCTGGGCGGCTCGGCGGCTCGGCTGTTGGGCGCCTCAGCTGCTGGGCGGCTCGGCGGCTCGGTTGCTGGGCGGCTCGGCGGCTCGGCTGCTGGGCGGCTCGGCTGTTGGGCGGCTCGGCTGCTTCGCGGCTCAGTGGCTCGGCTGTTAGGCGGCTCGGCTGCTGGGTGGTTCGCTTGCTCAACTGCTGGGCGGCTCAGCGGTGAAGGGGCCGGTAGAGGCGGCGACAGGGCCGGTAGAGGCGGCGACGGGGCCGCTAGGGGCGGCGACGGGGCCGCTAGGGGCGGCGACGGGGCCGTAGAGGGGCCACAAGGGGCCTAGAGGGGCGGCGACGAGGCCGCGAAGGGGCCGTAAGGGGCCTAGAGGAGGCGGCGACGGGGCCGCAAGTGGCAGCGACGAGGCCGCGAAGGGGCCGCGAGGGGCCTAGAGGGGCGGCGACGGGGCCGCTAGGGGGGCCGACGGGGCCGTGAAGGGGCCGCAAGGGGCCTATAGGGGCGGGGACGGGGCCTAGAGCGGCGGCGACAGGGCCGTGAATGGGCCGCGAGGGGCCTAGATCGGCGGCGACGGGGCCTAGAGCGGCGGCGACGAGGCCGTGAAGGGGCCGCGAGGGGCCTAGAGGGGCGGCATCAGGGTCGCTAAGGACGGCGACAGGGCCGCTAAGGGTGGCGCGAGGGGCCTCTAGAAAGGCGCGACGTGAGGGCGGCCTACGGGGCGCGCCTCGGGCAGGAAAAAAAAGTCGAGTTTAGTGGTGGGCCCTTAGAAGCTTTCCCACGAGGGAACCTGCTCTATACCATGTGAAGAATGAGGGAATGAATGAACTAGCACAAGGTTGGGTACAAGTAGGAAACCCTAGGAAACTGTACCCCATAGTGTCTACCCCACTATAGCCTAGACAAGCTATATGATATAAGTTTGACAGTTACAGCCGATACCACCCCTTGAGCGTGCTTGGCAGCAGGTGACGATGGACTTCGTCACGGGGTTACCAGCCGGGGCGAGTGGGAACGACGCGATCCTTATCGTCGTCGATCGACTGACGAAAATGGCACATTTCGCAGCCTGCAAAAAATCAATCACAGCCGAAGAAACAGCACGCCTCTTCATCTCCACCGTCGTCCGACTGCACGGGATACCAGCCGCGATCATCAGCGACGGCGATACGAAATTCACCAGCAACTTCTGGCGGAACCTGTGGCAGCAGTTCGGCACGCGACTGTAGTTCAGTTCGTCATACCACCCCGAAACCGACGGACAGACAGAATGGACAAATCAGACCATGGAACAGCTCATCAGGGCCACGTGTGACGACCCGACTACGTGGGAACAGCAACTGCCACTAATCGAATTCGCGTACAACAACTCGCCATCCGCCACGACCCAACAGTCACCATTTTACCTAAACTACGGACAAGACCCGACAGTACCCATGACCCTGAATCCCGACAACCCAGTACCACGAGCACAACAGTTTGCCGAAATATTACAAGCAGCACGGACCCGAGCAAACGCAATAAAAAAATCAAACATCATCGCTAAACGCAACGCCGACCGCCACCGCAGACTTGTCACTTACCAGTCCGACGACTTAGTTTTACTTGACACTCAGAACCTCCGACTGCCCATCACCCCGAAACTCCGCCCCCGATACTGCGGGCCATTTCACATAAGCCACATGCTTACACCCGTCACCGCCCACCTCCTCCTCCCTTCTACGTCAGCCCCTCATTCCACGTTAGCCTACTTTGCCCTTACGTCCCGTCCACGAGCCAACTACCACGCAATTGCCCAGCCAACATGATGACACCACCAACTGAACCTATCATCACCCCCGAAAAAATCCTGAGTCACAGAGTCCGCGATCCTCGAGGAGCCCGAAGGATCGAGTTCTCACTCCGCTGGAAGGACCGTACACCCACCGAAGACAATTGGGTTCCCCTGGACAGAATCGAAAACCACCTCGTCCTCACTAAGTATCTGCGCAGCCGGAATTTCAGGGATGTACACGCACTTTCGTAAGGAGGACCTCCTTAGGAGGGGGGGGGTAGTGTAAGGAAAATTCCTTTTCCTTACTTCGCATCCCTGCTCAACGCGTACATCAGTGTAGCACCACAGTCAGCACCGTTACCACTCGCCACCCTCGCATCGACAATCCGCCCGCCACCTTCGCACATCGCACCCCGACCTCACGGCTTGGCGGGTAACCCGCGCTCCGGGCCTCCGCTTCGACACTTTTTCCCAACCTCAGTCCGAGGCCCGTCGCGCGACAACCAAAGTCCATTACTGTTACCACTGTAGTTTCGCTATATATTCTTCGCTCATGCCTTCGCTCATTGTACTCTTGCTTCGATAGTGCAATTCTCGTTCGTTCACTCAATTGCACTCGTAACAATGATCAAGCAATGAAGAAAGCGAGCATTTATTGAGCGGAAACTATCTAGGCGAGAACCTCGTGATGTGCGTGGCTCGGAAATGTCACGATTGGTGATGGGCGACTCGGAAGTGGTTTGGGCCGAAATGTAGGCCGAACCGGAATCTGACGCGAAGAGCTCGGAGTTGTCCTCGCTAGGAGCGGCTTTGGCAGTAATGCATGTATATTCATTACACTCTCCCACCTTCTAGATGAGTCCCCCTTATCCGTAGTCAAGTCTTGCAGTAGCTTGAAAACTGAAGATCTTGGTCGAAACTGATCTGACGGTGCAGAAGCCCGTTGACTTTCAGTTTGACGCGTGGCTGAGCGCGTTGACCAGGCGAAATTCAAAGAGTTGATATGTGAGCCGGTGATACTGCCGATATCGATCGGGCGGTTGAAAGCGAATGTCGATTTGGAATCCTTCGATGAATGAAAACCGTCGATGTAGCGGATCTGTGACAGACGGTCGATATGAACTTTTTGGTGACGGGAGTTTTGACGCGTTGTCAGAGGTCGATTGAATCGGGACCCGTCGATGTCGATGGAATAATCGCAAGCGTCCGTCGTGCTGGATGTGTCAGACAAATCTGTCACGAAAAAAATGACAAGTACAGTGCGAGAGCACTCTCTCCCCTCCTTTGAAAAGGACTGCCACCTCAAAATCTCCGCGTGGCAGCATCGAATCACCTTGCTGCTGCAGTATCTTCGGTTGCCAGTACAGCTAATGCCCGTTAGAGTTGCTCCCGGTTGCCTTGTGAAGGGGGTCTGTATGCTAAACCGACATTTCGTAGAGTGTTCGTCTGTTTCGTCGGGCTTTATACGTGCTTCTAAACCGAACATGGTAACAACCCAATTTTTATGTTTTGCAATATTAATGGTTGGCACTCCCTGTCAATGATGTGCGATACTGGTTACTTCAGCGAATCCTAGAACAATGAACCAAGCAGCCTAAACAAATGTTCAACTTAGGTTGAAACATTCAACCACAAAATACAACCAATCAGCATCTCCCACCTGGGCCCCCAACTCCAATCTCCACAAATGACGAAACAAGCACAAATGTGCACAATGAGTGAACACCTCCCTCACAACAAAATGCCTTCGGCGCCTGGCCGGGTGGGCTCAAATTCCACTCACATGCGCATCCATTCCGCCGAGTCAACATACCCGTCCATCACGGCGCCAACACCAACGTCCAGCAGCTGCTGACGGCGGGACGGCTGGGTCATCCAGCTGGGCAGCACTCGGCCGCGCGGACGCGGGGTGTCGGGCGTGAGGGTTGCAGCCGGGGTGGGCACGACCGGAGGGGCCACGTTTAGATTAAAGGCCGGGCTTGCCCGCTCCATCCGCGCGATAATAATCGGGTTGCGGATGTCGAACAAGTGGCAGAGGTTACGTGGCGTGATGCAGGTGGCGCGAGCATAGCCGATGAGCATCTCGCAGGCCGCCCGGGCGGTGCGCCGCGCCTCACGGCCCACGGGGTCGGCATCGTCGTACACGACCTGCATGGTGGTCAGTGTCAAACTCATATGCTATAGTCTGTGTAGGCTGTAGTGGGGTAGACAATATGGGGTACAACACTTTTAGGTTTTCCTACTTGTACCCACCTGCTTGCTAGTTCATTCATTCCCCATTTCTTCACATGGTATAGAGCAGGTTCCTTAGTGGGAATGCTTCCTAGGGCCCAACACTGAAATCGATTTTTTTTTTCCTGAACAGAGCGCGAGTCGCCCTTGCCCGAGGCGCCCCGTGGGCCGCCCTGTGTTAAAATCTTAAGCAAGGGTGGGCTTATAAGCCATAGTTAAGGTGCCTTAGTGATCGAGTTCGAGGGTAAGGAGAAAAGTATCGAGAGGTTTTGGAAGGAGAAGTGAGTTCACTAGCAGGAGTTGGGATACAAGTACAACACCCTAAATTGGGTTGTACTCATTACAGAGTACCCCACTGCAGGCTAGACAGCAAATATATTCTGACACACCCCCATAGTCAAAGTGGGGTATAATCAGTACAGCATGCAGGCATAGAGCAAGAGTTCACAATAGGTAAGTAAGGCTAGAGCTAATCACAGAGGGCAAGTGAGGAGGAGGAGAGACTGTGGGGGAGAGAAGATGGGAGGCGACTGCTGACGCTGCAGACACACAGACGAGCTGCTGGCTCAGTGGCTACCGGAACAGCGCTCCGAACTACTGGAGTAACTGGCCCCGCGGCTAAAAGTAGCGGTAGACGAGCAACGGACCCACGGGCGACTGGCGACTACCGGAGATTGTAACCTCCGGACTGCTGCTGCTGCTGACGACAAGACTGCTGCCTCCACTCAACCTCCCCCAGCTGCCCAACACCCCTCTCACACACCCCCTGCTCAAACCCTAGCCCTACACCCACATCACCCCTTTAAACCCTAAACCCCAGACTCCCACACATACACCCCCCTCAGCGAGAGCTGCAGCTGTGGGAGACGAAGGAGGAGGAGGAGGGGACGGCACGCACAAGCGACACCCCCACAACCATCACCCCCACACCCACCCCCCCACCGCTGCACCGGGTCCAGGAGCGGCTGCTGCAGGGGCCAGGGGCGGCTGCTGCAGCGGCGGCTGCTCCAGGGGCTGCAGCTGCTAGGGCGGCTGCTCCAGGGGATGCTGCTGCTGGGGCAGCTAGTCCAGGAGTTGCTGCTGCTGGAGCGGCTACTCCTGGGGCTGCTGCTGCTGGGGCAGCTGCTGAAGTAGCGGCGGCTCCAGGGGCTGCTGTTGCTGGGGCGGTTGCTCCATGGGTTGCTGATGCTGGGGCGGCTGGTGCAAAGCTCCCGAGAGCGCCTCGACGGGCGACGGGAGGGGACCAGGCGCGGCCCCCCAAGACGCCTCGACCAGGTGACGAAAGGGGCCGGCTTGCGGGCCCTGAAAGCGCCGCGACGAGACGACGGGAGAGGCCTGCGGGCGGGCCCCCAAAACGTCGCGCCGAGGCGACACTCGGGGCCGGCGCGCAGGCCCTCAAGACGCTCCGACAAGAGAAGAACCCACTGCGCGCTTCAGGGCGCATGGCGGGCAGAAAACCGCCACGCGCCCCGAGCGCGTGGCGGGAAGAAAAAGAGGTGGTCGTGCGCCACGGGGTGCGCGACACACAATAGGGCAGCGGAAGCAAGTGGGCCAACAGGCCAGGAGCGTTAAGCTCTGATAACATGTTAAAATCTTAAGCAAGGGTGGGCTTAGAAGCCATAGTTTAGGTGCCTTAGTGATCGAGTTCGAGGGTAAGAAGAAAAGTATCGAGAGGTTTTGGAAGGAGAAGTGAGTTATCTAGCAGGAGTTGGGATACAAGTACAACACCCTAAATTGGGTTGTACTCATTACAGAGTACCCCACTGCAGGCTAGACAGCAAATATATTCTGACACCCTCTCGTCGCGTCCCCTGCCCTTAGCGGCCTGTCGCGCCCTCCTAGAGGCCCCTCTCACCGCCCCTCGCACCACTCTTAGCGGCCCGGTCGCCACCCCTAGCGGCCCCGTCGCCACCCTATACAGCCCCGTTGCCGTCCTTTGCGGCCCCGTCGCCGCCCTTCTAGGCCCCTCGCGGCCCCTTCGCGGCCCCGTTGCCGCCCCTAGCGGCCCCGTCGCCGCCCTTCAAGGCCCCTCGCGGCCCCTTCGCGGCCCCGTCGCCGCCCCTAGCGGCCTCGTCGCCGCCCTTCGAGGCCCCTCGCGGCCCCTTCGCGGCCCCGTCGCCGCCCCTAGCGGCCCTGTCGCCGCCCCTATCAGCCCCGTCGCCGCCCTTCGCGGCCCCGTCGCCGCCCTTCGCGGCCCCGTCGCCGCCCTTCGCGGCCCCGTCGCCGCCCTTCGCGGCCCTGTCGCCACCTCTAGCGGCCCCGTCGCCGCCCTTCGCGGCCCCCTCGCTGCCTCTAATGGCCCCGTAGTCGCCTTTCATGGCCCCTTGCGGCCTCTTTTCGGCCCCGTCCCCGCCCGACGTGGCCCCGTCGCCACCCTTCCCGGCCCCTCCTCGGCTCCTCCGCCACCAGCAGCAGCCGCCGCCAGCAGCACCCGCCACCAGCAGCAGCCGACAGCAGCAGAAGCCGCCGACACCAGCGGCGGCCACCACCAGCAACAGCCGTCGCCGCCGACAGCAGGAGCTACCGCCGCGGTCGCGGCTCTTTCCTGCCGACGCGCCTCGGCCCTGCCCCACCGCTTGCTAGCCCCCACCTACCAGCCCTGGTGAGAGCACTGCCGAGCCACGCCTGCTACTGCTGCCCCTAGCCTGCTGCCACTGCTGTCATGGCTACCCCTTGTGTTCTAGTCTTTGATGCTGAGGGTCGGGCTGTTGACTTTGAGGTCTGGGTCGATGATCTACAGCTTTTCCTACAGTGCAATAGGAAGGACGGTCTCTCCCTGTTCGATCTCACGTCTGGCGCCTCTACTGCCCCTGCTGCCGATGCTGACAGCACTATTCGCTCACAGTGGCCACACGTGATGCTGCTGCCCGTCTTGCTGTGTGTAGTCACTTGCCGTCCACTGAGCGCGCGCACTTTAGTCAGTACAAGAGTGCTAAGACCTTGTACAATGCTGTAGTTGCACGCTACTCTTCCCCTGCCACTGCTGCCCTTAGCCGCCTCATTCTGCCGTACCTGTTTCCTGACCTCGCCGCCTTTCCCACTGTCGCTGACCTCATTACGCACCATCGCACTAGTGACACCCGCTACCGCGCTGCGCTTCCTGCTGAGTTCTGCGCCAAGAACCCCCCCCCCCCCCCCCCATGTACATCACCCTGACTACTGGGTCTCCTCCGGTTGATGAGTCTAGTCAGGTAGCTGCGTCGAGTCAGGTGTTTGCTGCAGCGTCCAGGTCTGGTCGTGAGTCTGCTCCCTGCTCGTGTCGTCACCTGTCCCACCAGACTCTCCTCTGGCACCACCACCGAGGTCACCCCTCCCTGCCTCGTCTCCGAGGCATGGCCTCCCGTGTCCTTGTTTCTGGTCTCCCCCGATCCCTCCCTCCCCTCCCTCCAGGGCCTGCCCCTACCTCCGTTCCCTGCGTCGAGGGGCGGCAGCGCGCCGCCCCTCACTCCTCCGAGTTTCCTCCGACAGAGGCTCCGCTGCAGACTCTTCACATGGACGTGTGGGGCCCCGCCGGCGTCCATGGCCAGGGTCACGAGCGTTACTTCCTGTTGGTGGTTTACGACTACTCGCGTTACACCACGGTGTTCCCCTTGCGCAGCAAGGGTGACGTCACTAAGGTGTCGATAGACTGGATCCGCGCAGCTCGTCTCCAGCTCAGAGAGAGTTTCGGCTCGGACTTTCCTGTTCTGCGTCTGCACTCTGACAGAGGCGGGGAGTTTTCCTCTGCCCTTCTGGGTGCCTTCTGTCGTGCACAGGGCATCCGCCAGACCTTCACGCTTTTGGCCTCTCCACATCAAAATGGGATTGCTGAGCTCCGCATTAGCATGGTCATGGACGTCGCTCGTACGTCCATGATCCATGCGGCTGCTCCCCATTTTCTGTGGCCGTTTGCGGTTCAGTACGCAACGCATCAGATCAACCTTCAGCCCTGGGTCTCTTTGCCAGAGACCTCCCCCACCTTGCGGTGGATGGGGAAGGTTGGCGATGCGTCTGCGTTTCGGGTCTCGGGATCTCGGGCGTTCGTCCGCGACTTGTCTGCGGACAAGCTGCCCCCTCGTGCAGTTCCCCGCGTCTTCCTTGGCTTCCCCCCTAACGCGCCTGGTTGGCAGTTTTACCACCCCACCTTGCGCCGTGTTCTGTCCTCCCAGGACGTCACGTTTGACGAGCCGGTTCCTTACTACCGTCTCTTCCCCTACCGCACTGCACCCCTCCCCCTGCCGCCGCTCTGCCTTGCGCCAGATCCCCCCCGGGTAGACCCCCTCCCCCCTTAGTGGCATGTGGATTTTCAGGGTGAAGCGGCCGCCGGGTTCTCCGCCTGTCTTCAAGGCGCGTTACGTGGCTCGAGGCTTCAGTCTGCGGCACGGAGTTGACTACTTTCAGACCTTCTCTCCCACCCCGAAGATGACCACTCTTCGGGTGCTGCTGCACATAGCCGCTCAGCGCGACTACGAGCTTCACTCTTTTGACTTCAGCACAGCTTCCTGCAGGGCAGCCTGCACAAGGAGATCTGGCTGCGCCGCCCACCTGGCTTGACTGGGTCGTTTCCTCCTGGTACCCAGTGGAGCCTCCGGCGGCCAGTCTACGGTCTCCGCCAGGCACCCCGTGAGTGGCCAGCACACTGAGGACTACACTTGCGGCTCTTGGGTTTGCTCCTTCTACTGCCGACCCGTCGCTGTTTCTACGCACCGACACCTCTTTGCCGCCGTTCCACATCCTCGTGTATGTCGACGACTTGGTCTTTGCCACTGCTGACACTGCTAGACTCGCCCACATAAAGTCTGAGTTGCAGAAGAGACACACGTACACAGACCTGGGTGAACTGCGCAGCTACCTTGGCTTGCAGATCACACGGGACAGAGCACAGCGCACCATTACCCTGACTCAGTCACACATGGTGCAGCATGTTCTTCAGCGCTTCGACTTCACGTACTCCTAGCCTCAGGCCACTCCTCTGTCTACTCGCCACTCGCTCTCAGCTCTTCCTTTGGATGAGTCCATAGAGCCGAGTGGCCCGTACCCAGAGCTTGTTGGCTGCCTCATGTACCTGATGACCTGCACACGACCTGACCTAGCATACCCTCTTAGCATCTTGGCACGCTATGTTGCTCCTAGGAGACACCGATTAGAGCACATGGCTGCAGCGAAGAGGGTGTTGCGCTACTTGTGCACTACGTCGGGCATGGGGCTAGTGCTTGGAGGGCGACGTCGAGTGGTCCTCACAGGTCACGCAGACGCTTCTTGGGCTGACGACCAGGCTACGCAGCGGTCGTCATAGGGTTACACCTTCAGCCTTGGCTCCGGCTTTGTTTCGTGGCGGTCTACCCGCTCGTCTTCTGTTCTCGGCTCCAGCTGTGAGGATGAGATCTACGCCGGGGCCATGGCTGCATTGGAGCTATATTGGCTCACCTACCTGCTGACTGACCTAGGAGAGCCGCCTCGTTCTCCTCCAGTTCTGTACGGAGACAACAAGGCCATGCTGGCCTTGTGTCGGGAGCACAGACGGGAGCACAGAACGAATCACATTGCTCTTCGCTACTTCCTTGCTCGTGAGCTGCAGCAGCGTGGTCAGCTGCGCCTTGCTTACGTGGCCTCTGAGGCCAACACTGCTGATATCTTTACCAAGGCACTTCCGCCTTGTGATCATCAGCGCTTTTGTACGATGCTAGGTCTTGTGCCTACTTGGCCTCACTTGCTCACTTATTGACCTTGCTTGTACTGTGATCTAGTTATACCTGCACTTGCTTGTTTACCTTTATATATAATCTTGCATGTGAACTGGCCTTGTGGCCTTCTTCTTATGCTCGGACTATGTGGTGACGTTGTGATCCACCCTGAGGTTGCTTTGCTTTGCTTGACTGGTCTTGTGACCTCTTGTTCTCCCCCACTTCGCCTATGGGGGTGTGTCAAACTCATATGCTATAGTCTGTGTAGGCTGTAGTGGGGTAGACAATATGGGGTACAACACTTTTAGGTTTTCCTACTTGTACCCACCTGCTTGCTAGTTCATTCATTCCTCATTTCTTCACAGTCGGCGCCTTCCAAAGCTCCACCACCAGGCCCGCTTCCGGCTCGTGAGTCGTCTGGTCCGCCGCGTGCGCGGCGCACGTTTGCTCACTGTCGTCGATGGCGACGTACTCGGCCGCGGTCATCGTGCCATGCCCAAGCTCGAGCCCACTAATGAGCGTGCGGACGTCGTCTATGTCGTCGTCGAGCGCGATGTCGGGATAGACGGGCAGGGTGGGCTCGTCGTCGTGAACGTGGGTCAACTCCATGGACCACGATAGCGGCAGACATCCCGTGCGCCATCAGCATCGCTGAATGGTGCGCGCACTGATGCTCGTCCACGCGTCCGACAGCCACCCGAACACGTCGCGCAGGTTCGGGCGGAACCTCGCGATAGGGCTTGTTGCGCCGTCCGCGTTCCACAGAGCCGTGAAGGCCCGCAACCAGTGCTGGCGGTAGCGGGCCTTGGCTGTGGCAATGATGCCCTGGTCAAGGGGCTGGGTGAAGGAAGTGGTGTTCGGCGGCAGGATGATGAGACGGACATTGCTCATGCAAGTCGTCCTCATGCCGCAAACAATATCGCTCCATGCGTGCTTGCTCCGTAGCATGTGCTAGCTCGCGTTATCGAGTAACACGACGATCCGCCGTCCCTCCGCATACATGGCAGTGTTGAGCTGCGAGATGAAGTGAGTGAACAATTGGGAGCGGGGAAGGGCGGGAAGGGGATAGTGCACGAACGGGGAAGATATAAACCGCGCATTTCAAAAAAATAGCACCACCTCGCACATTCAAACACATTTTCAAATCTCATCGGCGACGTCATCCACCCTTTGGCGTTGTGACGCTTGTAGCAGAGGGCCTCGGGATCGTTGTCCGGGCGAAAATCGTGCGGGCGCCTCGCCTTGCTGATGACAAGCGGGCGGAATGCATGGCTTCCGTCCGCATTGACGAGGAACGCCACGGTGAGGCGTTCCTTTGACACCTTGCGCCCAGGAAGACACCCATTGCTGTACGTCCGCTGCGGCAGCACGGACAACCAGAGGGCGGTTTTGTCCAGGTTGAACGTGTCGCGCGGACTGACCCCTAGGTGCATAAGCAGTTGCGGGAGCTTCTCCCGCGCGTCGCGCACAGCGGCCATGTTCACGCTGACCGCCTTGCTGGCTGTTGCACGGCACCTCACCCCCTGGCGCTTTGCCAGGTCAACGTGACGCAGGCGAGGGTTCTCTACGTGATGCGCGCATATCGCGCGCTTAAACCCCGCAGCCTGAATTACAGAAAAAGTTGGGAGGTGTTAACACCTTCCCTCCCGAACCAGGGTGGTTACCAATTGTTCACTTGCAAAACGTGATGAAGTCGCAGGCAGCGAAGGGAAGTGTCGCTCGGTTCCTGCGCAACCACTCTGGTGTTGGTGTGCACACCAAACTAGGAACTTGTAATTCAGGTCGATGGAAACTGCCTAGTCCGATCAGCACCAGCAGCAGCCATATCTTAGAACAGCTACGCTCCAACCTCATTCCAGCCCCAGGCCTCTTAGACTCTCCTTACTCGTTAGGACTAATAATCCATTCCGTATGTGCCAAAAATATATCTTTTCCCGATTTTA